GGTAAATGAATGCTGTGCTGTGTGACTTTGGGCAAATCCCCTGTCCAGTCTGAGCTTCAGATTCTTCACCTATAAAGAGATGGTAACAGTATTGCCTCACAAGAAATCTGCTGACTCATGCAAAGCACTTAGCTTAGCTCTTGGTAGTATTTAGTGTACTAGCATACCTAGTATACCATTTGCGGTATATTGTAGATGAGAAAACCGAGGCCCGGGTGTATCTCAGTGTCTCAGTATCACAAACACTCACTTGATAAGTCTCAGCTTGTAGACTCCATGGACTAAAGCCAGGACTGACCCAGGTACCACCCAAGTACCCTTGCTAAAGAAATCTCCCAGTAAACCGGCTGATTCAGAAAGAAAGACACTATGCTGCTTGGGCTGGCATCCGGGCTCCAATGTGGGGAGCACGAGATTGAAAAGCATGAAGATCTGAGGTCAGGCAGGCCCGGGATGGAGTCCTACCTGCCACTTATGAGCTGTGTGTCCTTGGGCAAAGTATTCAGGCTCTGGGTCTCTCAGCATCCTCATCTGTAAAATGGGGACACCCACCCACCCACCCTCCCGGGGCTGCTGAGGAAATGAGATACTGCCCACAAAATATCTAGCAGGATTGAGGTGTGGTTCACTGATCTTTCTCTTCTCCTACCTCCTCTAGGAGCCACCACGGTTTCATCAGGAGCATTCAAGGACCACCAGAACACGGGATCCTGCCCTCTATAGCTTCCCATCCAGAGGACACAATCTTGACCATCAATATTTCCCAAGTATCTACCATAGTACCAGGCTTACAGTAGGTGCACAGCAAATGTTTGGTGAATGAATAACAGACCTCTCCTCTTCAGTGAAACTCCCACTTGATGACTCACGCTGGGTGGTCTCGAGGGTGATAGTGGAGCTGAAGACTCTGTATTTGTATTTGTCTTCAACTCTCCTCTCGTCATTTTCACCAGAAGACTTTGAGTAGCAGGCTGTCTATACATGTGGAGTCATGTCCCAGCTCTGAGCCCCTTACTCCTGAGTGCCTACTGAGATATAACTGAGCCTTGGTTGTCTCATCTATAATATACAGCAAATACTATTTGACTATGCTCATTCCACTCAGCCCCTGTGAATATGAAACCATTCTAGAATAAAGAGGCTGTTGAGATGTTTCTTGATTTACTGAAAAGACAAGTATGTTGAGGACAAAGAGGTAAATAGAAGAGAAGTGGCGATTAGCTTTCTAGCTCAGCACACTCATTCCTATCTTCTGTGATGTAACTGGTTGCGATTGCCCCAGATTTGTTCCAATCTTAGAAAAGATTAAATATATGGATCTGTGGCATCATGTGTCATCTCAACCAATCCTGACCCATATTTCTCTCCACTTGGTGCATGTAACAACTACAAAGGAGTGTTGTAACTTTAATTGCTTGCAGAGTGTTTTGAAATCTTTAGATTAAGAAGCTCAGCGAAGTCCAAAGTATTCGTTTTCTGTGTGCCCGAGGACTTAACGCGAGCCTCATCTGGGTTTGTTGGGACTCAGAGAATCTGCAGTGTATGTTGAGGCCCAGCCCAGGAGCTGGGTGGTTTAGAGGTCCCATTCCTGGGATGGTCTTGGACCAACTCCCAGCTTCCTAGTTCCTGAGCCACTTCCCAGGCTGCTGCCCCTCTGTGGTTCCTGGGTCACAAGGCGGCCTGAGCTGCACTTTCTTCAGTGCTATTGGTCTGCTTTCCTGGGTGATCTCAGCCCAAGTCCTGGAAAAGGGCAGTTGTATCATCTGGGACTTCTGTAGGCCTCCTCACGAAAGCCCAAAGCTAACGAACTGGTCTTTATTCTAACTGTGCATGTGCGTTGACAGTTAAAATCCTGTTTCATAGTGGCTACCCTCACGAGGGCAGCAGGGAGGGACGGCAAAGGACCTGGAGGTCCTGGGGTGCTGGCGATGCTGTTTCTTTGATGAGGCCACTCATCTGGTTGGGGAAAATTTGCTGAGCTATACACTTACAAAGGCTCCTGGGTGGCACAAATGGTCTGCACTCAGCTACTAAGAAAAAGGTTGGCGGTTTGAGCCCACCCCGCGGGGCCATGGAAGAAAGGCCCGACAATCACAGCCAAGAAAACCCTATGGGGCAGTTCTGCCCTAACACGAGGCTCCCGTGAGTCGGAACCAACTCAGTAGCAACAGGTTATACACTGACATGTGCATTTTGTTGCGTATTAGTTACACTTAAAAAAAAAAAAAAAAAAAGCCTATATACTGATTCATTTAGAACAAAGTTTGATGCAATAGTGGGGCTATAAACCTCATTATACCCAAGTCCTTTATCTTTCTCAATCTTGGTGATTAAAAATGAATGTATCTGTAGTTTTCCCTTCCATTTTTACCTTTATACGGAAAAGGGGAAAAAAAAAAAGGAAATGCTTTAATTAGCCACATGAATTAGGTCTAATGTGGGGGGAGGGGCATGTTGCAAATTCAAGCCTCCACAATGGTTCACAAAGTTCCATGAGACACCCACGTGTACATCATAACTTTCATCTAATTCCCAAGGGCCTCTGACCTAATAAAAGATGAAAAACCAGAGAGATTCTTACAAATCATATTTACGCATGATCCCCTGCGAATGTTTCTCCATCTGAAAGTTCAACTCACAGCACCACCAGCCTGATCTCACCAAAGTGGTTTCTCCCATCCTAATGACTGTGCCCACTTGTATTACAAAAGCCAATGTGTTAAAGTATCTGTCCAAGGTTGTTAACAATCACGTTTACACCTCTGTCTCCACAGTGAGACTCTAATCCCTGGGGCCAGAGACCTCTGCACCCCCAGCCCTCAATCAAAAACAAAAACCAAACTCACTGCCACTGAGTCAATTCCAACTCAGAGCGACCCCCTTTGGGTTTCCAAAGCAGTAAATCATTATGGAAGTAGACTGTCCAGTCTTCCTTCCGCAAAGTGGCTGGGGGGTTTGAACCGCCAACCGTCTGGTTAGCAGCCAAATGCCTTAGGCACCACACCACAGCCCTTACAAGGAGCACGAAATTGCAAAAGGCAAAGGCATACTGAACCCCAAAGAAATCCACCACGCCTGCATACGAAACCAGATTTATTACAATTTCTCTACAGGTCAGCTGACCACTGTAACGTTCATACATATGTACAGGAAGGATCTAGTGTTTCTAGCTTCCCAGCAGAAGCCCCTGCCGGCCTGGAGTCCTCAGCCGGATCGTGTATCACAAATACAAGGGTCGGGCAACCACGAGAGCGTTAGTGCAGCAGAGGCCTTGTCCTCCCTGTCCTCAAGTCCACGGTCCGGTCAAGGTCCTATTGCCAAGAAGCATTCACATTTCACGTGGTTTTAGACACGCAGGTTATCCAGACAGACACAACAACAAAACAAGCCTCAGAGCTAACACAACAGAAACTCGGACATAGGTATAAAAGGTGAAATGTATGTACACAGTACACAGTACATGAGGTATACATGGCATTCTCACAATGCATGTTAGTAGTTTGCCTAGGCGTAGCCCTTGAAGATGACTGCCTGTTTTTGTGCCATTTCTTAAAATACAGTATGTTTCGTTTACCCGTTTAACCACCCCATCTCAGCACTGCCCAACACATCGACTGGTATCTCATCAGTCCTTGTTTACAAAGGTGAGCTGCAGTTTCTCCACGAAGTGCTACCTTTTGTAGGTAGTGAGTTCCCATCTCTGGATGCATTCAAACAAAAGATGGCGTCCCACCTGTGAAAGCTGAAGCAGGAAGAAGGGGTTCGGCAGAGGAAGAGGTGGGACTGGACACTTCTCAAGTCCCTTCCAGCTTCAAACGTTTGGGGTTTACTGTTTCACCCCAGATGTGAATCACACAGCTATATTCGTAAGCCATAACCCCCTGACATTCACAACGCACCATGCAAAACCCCAGGCACACACACAATGCCAGAGGCAGATCACATCTGGGAAGGGTTCAAGTGTAACTCTGGAAGGGGGTCTGAGACTCTTCCAAGACTTTTCAGAATTCACTTTCTCTGCAGCACAAAGGTGTTTTACGTTGGCTCTTGGGAGAGGGGTTGGGGAGTCTTCTCTTTTTTCTTCTCCGAGGCAAAACGCCCACCCTGAGTCTTGCAGGGGGTGGAAGGGGTGGGGGGATAAGTGCTAACATATTTGAGGGCAAACCAAAGAGGTAACTTGCCAAACACTCAAATTATTCAAAAGCCTGAGGTCTCTGTCTGAGCTCAGAATTGTGACATCGACAGGCATTTGGATCTTTTGTGACACTTTCCCATAGATAGCTGGTAAGTGCTTTCATAGCTAAAGGGGGAGGGGGACTTCAAGGTCAGGGGAAGGGAGGCTTCAAGGTCAGAAAGAAGGCATTAGTGCATATGAGGTCCTGGAGGGAGATGGAGGCCAGAGTCTTGAGTTTATGGTCCAGGAAGACTCTTGTGCTCCTGAGACAGGCTGCCCCAAAAACGGAGCAGAGTCCTTGGTAAGTGTGAGTGTGAAGAGAGAAAGACTGTTCAAACAAACAAAAACCCTTCCAATCAGGGAAGCTGGGGTAGCAAAACTCTAGCTACCAAAGAGGTGTTCAAAGGCGGCAGGTTAACTGACCCAACAGTTGGTCCATCACCCTGTAAAATATGCTTACTGCCCCAAATGCCACTGTGCAGTTCACCTCCTCACCCTTTTGAACGTTCAAGTTGGCTACAATGACCTCACGTTGTAGGATGTCCATACTCTACCACCTACAAAAGACACGGAACCCAAATTTGACCAAAGGGTCTCTGTGAGGGTTTGCTAAGAAAGGAAACAACTTTTCAGGACAGCCAAAGAGTGTCTCTGCTCAAATCGATGAAGTCACTCGTCACAACAAACAAGGCGAGGCACCACGTTGAGCTCAGCGGCACCATCCCTGACGCAGTCCTGATCGGATGGCACCACGTCGGGAGGTCGGTCCACCTTTAGAAATGGAAATGCCATGTGTGAGAATCATGAGGTTTCTGAGGTTTGGGGATTAGCAGAAGAAGGAACTAATGTCACTGTCCTCCTGGCATTCCGGGACAATCTGGTCTGAAGTTCCTATTTCCGAGTCGACATAGCCAGGTTCCAAGACAGACTCAAACCAGGGATGGAGCAGGATCTCAGGGGCAGCAAGTCTCTCCGAAGGCTCTCGTCTCAGAAGGCTGCGGATGAGGCACCTGGCTTTGGGGGAAATGTGGTCGGGAATGCAGAACTGCCCGCGTCGGATTTTGGAGAACAGGGCACTGGGGTCTGAGTCATGGAAGGGGTATCGTCCGACCAGAAGGGTGTAGAGCATCACCCCGAGGCTCCAAACGTCCGCCGCCTTTCCCGAGTAGGTCCCGGTCGTGTTCAGGATCTCAGGGCTCACGTAGGCGGGGCAGCCATGTTTGTCTGACAGAGCATCGTCCTCCCCCTTGATGATGTGGGTGTCTTCTAGGCTTTCCAATCTGAGCTGGGTTCTGAGAGAGACAGAGAGCGAGTGATTGAGCAAGCAAACCAGCACTTCCAGACCAGCTGCTATGAAAAACAAGGCTTCCCGATCACGGCACCCACAGGCACTAATAGCTAGGGCCCAGGAAGTGCCATTACTCCTTCATCAGTAAGCTGTGCCCCACAACTACCCAGGACTTGCGGTTTCACAAAACAAGGCACACTGCAATAGCATTTGAAAATACCAGGGGCAAGCCTGGGGTAGAGGGGATGGTATAGAGCCTCAAATACCATTCATGATGCTGGAGTTTCTAAGAGATAGGGGTGACACAGGGAGCTCTGGTAGCGCAGTGCTAACCAGAAGGCTGGTGGTTCAAACCCACCAGCCACTCCTCGGAAGGAAGGTTGGGCAATCCTACTTCCGTAGTGACACTGACTTAGAAACCCAAGGAGGGGTCGCTATGAGTCGAGTCTGACTCGACAGCACATAACAACAACAGGAGTGACAAAATTCGCCATGCTCCCATGGCAGAACCAGGGAATGCTGACATTGTCTGCAAAAGCTATCGGGGAAGAGGAGTGTATCTTATGCCTGTAGATCCTATAGCCACACCGTGCATCCCACACAGAGCCCAAAGTCACCGTCACTGCCACAGGCTGTCAGAACTGCTGCTCTCATCCACATATACACACAGAGGGAACTTTGTCCACCGGGGCCCTGATGGCTAACTAGGATCATTATGATGGGAAAGTTGCAAGGAATGTTCATTGCATTTATTGGAGTGCTTAACTGCAAAAAATGCTCGGTCTGATGGAGAAGCAGGGCGCCCCAAACTCCAGCTCCTGTATGTGCACACCCACCCCAAGACACCATACCAACACATGAGCACGGTTCATCTGTCTGTACAGGGAGCAGCCAATGTCTGAAAAACTTTCCATCAAAGGCTCTTTTATAAAACTGCAGGTACTTCTTTATTCACATCAAGCCACCCAAGTCTCCCAGATCCCCCAAAAGCTAGGTGGGGAACTTCTAATCTCCAGTGGCAGCCTGCCCCTCCCTGCTTCTCCCAAACAGCCCAGTTTCTGTAAGGCCCTGTGAAGTTAAATGTAAACACGTGGTACTGGCTGATGGTCGATTCCTTTTCCTCTCAAGGTCTGGGTTTGGTTTTTTTTTCTCCTTCCTGCCGTCGTGTTCCCTGGAGTGTAGTCCACATGTGCTAACTTCAGTATGTCCTCGGCATGACCTCCCCGTCGTTATGTAAAATACCCATTAGTTCTGTAAACGGAAAATATGACTCAACCCACACCGTCTGCCCTGATTGGCTGCTGTAGTACTAAAACTCTGCACCTGTGCTTGTTACCCGACTAGCGTCAGCCTGCCATTGCTTAACCCTCGGCTTGCCAAACTCCATGCCCATGACATTGGCCTGTGCAATGCAGATTTCAAAAGCTAGCCAGCCGGTGTGTAAGGCATGTTTCAGAAAATGCATCACCATGTCAAAGAAGCATGTGCCAGGAATTGGAAACTTCTTCATTGCAAACAGCTGGCCTTTCTTTGCTAATAAGTATGTTCCAATCAATCTTGCAAGGTCAGATACAAAGTCAGGCTCTATAGCAACTTAACTCTATATCTTTTCCTATGACCTTGGGTTTAAAGGTTTAAAAAAAAAAAAAAGGCAAAAAAGCACAGGTAGGTTAAGCCCTGTGTGACTTGCCGGAACAAACAAACAACTCACAGCCGCCTCCACTGCTCCCCAGTGTTATCAGACAGTGTTATCACGTGTAATCTTTCCACCAGGATGTGGCCCATCTCTGAAAACCAGGTCAGGCCTATGTGCTGTGGCTTCCTGAATTCTCTTAAGAATCTGAAACCTCAACTCTGAGTCTCACTCACTGTGTCATCATTCTCTTCTCAAGCTCATCTCATCCTTTATGACATAAGCTGTGATCTGTATTTAGCGATCAACCCCAGCCAATTTCCATTTATTATTCAATGTGGCTATTTTCTGAAGATGGAGTCAAATAAGATGTCTAAAAAGCCACCAGGGGGTGTGAAGAAAGGCACAGGGACCAAGTCTGAGACAGAATAGGGATGCAGAGTGGGGAGGAGGGTGAGATTCTGCAAAGACAACAGGTTAATCTAACTCTGTGACGCCTTCTAGGTACCAAAAAAACAATCCAGCAAACAAAAACACAGCATAAGCAAAAGCTGAACGCTTCCTGTAGGAGTCAATATTAATGCGGGCTGGGTTGACGTTTGCACCCCAGAGAACCTGGCCTTTCTGGTAACCGTGTGGAAGGACCCTGATTCAGGGCACAGAAGGGGGAAGACAACCTGCCACCACGTGGCATCCTGCAGAAGCACCAAGGTGTCCTCAGGCCCACAGTCAAGAGAACACAGGATAAACCAACCTTGGCCACGATTCCTCCAGAGCAGGACTTCTAAACTCAGCCCTCGGCTTTGTTTTGAACCAACACATCGCCCCTAACTGGCTCAACCTGCACCTGCGTCACCGCTCCGTAAGGGCACAGGAGGCACTGCAACCGCCGCTCACCTCTCCTCCGTGGAGAAGACGAATTTCCTAAGTTTCAGATCCCCCAACACAATGGCCGACTGGTGGCAGTGGGCAACGGCAGAGACAATCTGCTTGAAGAGCCGGGCAGCCTCCTCTTCCCGCAACCTCTTCCGGCTTCGCACATACGAGTGCATGTCCCCAAAGTCCTTCTCAAAGAAGACATAGGCTTTGGTGTCCCCAAGGATCACTTCCACGATGCCGGTGATGTGTCTGTGTGACGGCAGCTGGATGTAAGGCCGGATTCTGTCCTGGTAGTGTTTAATGGGAAACACCTGCAGAGAGAGGGAGGCTTGGTTAGGAGCTGGAAAAGCAGGCGTTGCCCCCCAAATCCAGGGCTGAGCTGAGGTTCCCAATCTTTGGGCTTCAGTTGACTACAGGAAGACCCCATTCATGTACCTTTCTCTTTGCCACCCCACCCTATGTGGCACCAGGAGCTGCTGTCAAGCTGATCCCAACTCCAGGCAACTCTATGTGTGTCAAAGTAGCACTGTGCGCCATAGTGTTTTCTGTGATTTTTCTAAGTGGATCACCAGGCCTTTCTTTCAAGGCGCTTGAACCTTCAACCTTTCAATTAGCAGCCAAGCACGTTAACTGCACCACACAGGGTCTCCCAGCTGCCCCTAACATCTTTAAAAGCCTGTTGACTAGCAAACGTCCGAGGGGTTCCCTCTTCATAGGGATGCTGAGAAAAAACTGTCATCTCCGTATGTTCCCTGCTTCTGTGGGACACCAGTTCCTGAGAGCAAGCCCCACAGACCCCCATCCTCTGTGTCCCTTCCTTGTTTGCAGGCGATGTTGGTGGCTGCTGGAAGGCACCCCCTGGGAGCCTCACAGCTCAAATCTGTCCCTGGAAATGCACTGTGCCTGCGGCAGACCCAGAGTGCACACCACAAAGGCCACTGAAATGGTGTTGACACTGCAGCCTCCACGGGGAAGCAGGGGCCGGAGAACACCAAGCTTTGTCATCAGTCAGGAGGAATGGATGACTTGGAGGAAGAGGGGAGCCTGTGACACGAAGGCCTTAAGCAAGCTGCCCGCAGTCTGACTCCGTGGAAGCCAAAGTTAGCTTCTCACAGCAGGGCTACACATCCTGTGAGTGGTGGGGATATCTTCTTTCTTTTTCTGTTTGTTTGTTTATTCCTCACCCCACCCCCACTCCACAGGAAATGGGTAATCTCTTCTAAGAAGCCCGCTGGGCTCTTTAAGGCCCTTTTGTTTAGTCCAGTTACTCATAATCTAGACTCAACTGGAAACGGTGACACACGGGCTGTCACCATCTGGATTCAGCTATTATCTGAACAGAGGAGCTGGAAGGAGTTTCACAATGGCTAGACCCACCCCACCTCGGAGGCCCGGCTCCGGCACCAGCCAGAAAATCCCTCCGACGCCCCCTCCCCTCGCCCCACCCCAGACCCAACACACCGACCCCTCCCAAAACACCTCTGAACCTCAGCTACTGAGAGAGAAAGATTTTTTTTCCCTTTAAACCAGCCTTGATCGGGCATTTGAAGTTTCATTCTGCTCAGACGTTAGGTGGCAGCAGCAAGCCCAGGGACTGGGGGAAGTCAGGTGAGTTAAAGAAAACCTAGAGCGACTTTTAACTAGGGGGTGACTCCCTCCTTGGGGTGAAATGATCGGCCCGAGGGCTGTCAGGAGTCCCTGTTGGGGAGGGGGGAGTGCCAGACTCGCCAAGAGCGGGCAGCGAGAAGGCCCTGTGTCCAAGGGCGGTGGTGAAAGAAGCGGGGACGCGGTTTCTACCTGAAAAACCTCCTGCTCCGGAATGGGGATCCCTTAGGTTCAAAAGTAAATCTCGGCCGGGAAATAAAGAAGTGAATGGAAGCGAGGGTTCCCTGCCCGTGTGGGCTTTCCAACTTTCCTACCCCGGGCAGCTCAGCCCCGCCTTGGCTCTAAGACCCACTCAGACTGCGCCCTTAGGAGGGCGGGGAGGGTTTGGCGATGTTCTCGCCCCGGCGCGGGTCAGGCCGGAATCTCCGACAGGAGCCCGACGCAGTCTTTCCACTCCTTTACCACCCTCGGCTGCGCCCGGGCGCCTGAAACCCCTGCCAGGGTGCCGCCAGCTATTCCGAGCCCACGGAGACACCCTCGGCAGGCCTTTTTCCAGGACGCGGGGCGGGACGGCAGGGCACTGAGGGAAGGGGAATGGTGCAGCCCTGGAATCCATTTCAATTCCGCAATTTATATGGAACGCCCTGCGCCCCGCTGGACGCCACGGAAAGGAATACAGAGAGGAAGCGGTTGAGGACTGCACTTCCTCTTCGCCGCCGAGCCCCCGCGATACCACGACCCCTCAATCTCCCCAAAGGTGACCCGGTCAAATGCCGCCTTCCAGGACTCGACCCACTTACTCGCCCAGTCCCAAGCGTCTGTGGTACTTGGGGCGCCCAGAGCCCCTCCACCCGCCTCAAGTCCCCAGACCTCCACCGGGTCCTGGTCCCCAGCCGCCTACCTTGCAGCGCAGTTCGCGGCCCGTGTGGATGCATAGCGCCCGGGACACATGCTCGCGCTCCGCCAGGGGCAGCAGCAGGTAGTCGGCGATGCGGCAGGGCCCCGGCGCGCTCCCAGAGCCGCCGCCGGCTCCCGGAGCGGCGGGCGGGGGCTGCGGGCTGCAGGGCGAGCCGGGGGGGCTGAGGTAGTCCGGGGGACTCGAGCACTCGGAGAGGCGCGGGCACTTGGCCGCCACGGCGGCCGCGTCGTCCGCATCCAGCAGGCGTTTGGCCGGGGCGCCCCGAGAGGCCGAGAGCAGCAGGGCCCGGCCGCGGGGCTGCGCGGCGCCGCTCGTGGCGGAGCGCACCGGGCCGGTCCGCATCCCGTCCCGGGCTGTGGCGGCGAGGGCTTCGTGCGTTCGGGAACCCGCGCGGGAAAGCGCTGCGGGCTCAGCGCCGGCGCTGCGACTTCTTCCAGCCCGCGCGCGAGAGTCTGCAGCCCAGGCTCGGCTCGACCCCCACGGGGGGCACAGCAGGAGTCGCCCTCGGGCGCTCGCGCTGCACACGGGGACCGCGCTGGCCGCGCGCCCCGGGGCCGGAGGCCAGTTCGGGTCCCCGGAGTCCCACGGGCACCGACTCGGGACGCCTGCCCGAGGGCGGCCGCCGCTATTGTTGCCGCGGCTGCCGACAGTCCCGGAGACGGAGGCGGCGGCTGAAGCTCCCGGGGTCCCGAGCTGCGAGGGCAGGATTCTGCGGGATTGAATGAGCCTCGGATCCAGTGCACGTCCCAAAGCAAGAAGTCTCGAAGCCAAAGCCAGAGCAACTTTTCCGCGGCGCTCGGGGTCCTGCGCGCTCCTGGGCTCTGGGCGTGTGAGCGAGCGCGACGCGCTCGGAGAGAGTGACTGAGTGTGAGTGAGTGTGTCGCCGCACCGACCCCGGCCAGTGCACGCCTCCTTCTCCTTTTCCTCCACCTCCTCCGCCTCCCAGTGACTCACGCTGTATACACACACACAGGCCGGGCTGTGTAAACAGTTGGGAAGCCAGGTTGTGCAATGAGGTGGCTGCGACGACTCCGGCTCTGCCGCCCGGCGAGCAGTCACCGGGGCGGAGGGGGGAGCTCGCGGGTGGAGCAGGGCGGGCGCGGGGGATGGGGAACCGGGATGCTCTGGGCAGCGCGCTCGGGCGCAGGTGGTGCGTCCGGGCCGGCTTGGGCGCGCGCACACGCCCCCCGGGCTGGGCTGGCCTGAAGGTGGCGCGCGCCCTCGGCAGGCTGCCGGCTTGCGCTGCGAGCCGAGGAGAGCCGAGGAAACGTCCCCGTGACGTCAAGGTCCCGAGGAAGTGGGCGGGCGGGGCGGGACGGGGCGCGGGGGGCGAAGCGGCCGCTGATTGGTGCGCGCTCCCCATTCACACTGAGCACAATGGGCTGAGGCGCGAGGCGCGCGCTCGAGTCCCCGGGCTCGGTGGGAGGGTGCGCGCACCACAGTTTCCTGCACCCGCCGCTCTTGCAACCCGGTGGTTACCTTTTAGCCCCGGGGATACCCCCATTGCCCGGCGCCTCGGGAGCTCCGGTTGGAGTTGTGGGCGCCGCCAACGCCCGGCTGCAGCCCGAGGGGCGGGCTGGGGAAGGTGATGAATTCCAGAATCAGTCATTCACCCCCACTCGGTAGTTCCGGGGAAGACCTGTGCGTGGTAGTGGATGTGGCTTTTTTTTTTTTTTTTCCTTTTCCTGCCCCCTCCCAGCTCTAATCCCTAGCGTCTGTTCGCTTCCACAAATAGAACCTTCTGTTGGATGAAATAAAAGCAAACACTGGGCCTTCTGCGCTGCCTCCACCTCCACGCCCCTCCCGCGCCTGCCTCCCGCCCGGATTGCACGGAAATAGCTTCTCCCCGCTCCCCGGCCGCCCCTTCGCGGTGACTCGCAGAAAGAGCTTCCTGAGCCAGACCCGGTGGGAAACAAAGGATGTGGGGAGCGGGCGGAAGGGGCACACGTGGCCGCCGCCGGATTCCTGCCCCCTCCCGGCCTCCACACGCGCCTCTGGGTCTCGGGCCTGGGTGCCACTCCCGGCCCCGGAGTGGGTGGGAGTCCTTCTGGCCAAGGCCCCGGGCTGTCTGTGCGTGGGCAACCCTTCCAGACCGTGTATGTGTATCCTTGATGTCATTGAGCACCACGTATGTGTCAGAGCCAGCAGAAAACTCCAAGAAAGGAGCTTGGAATCTCGTTTCTCTTTCTTAACAGAACTAGGTCAGTTTGCAGTCCCTGGACACTGAACCCAGATAGCTATTACCAGAATCCTTGCACTTCAGGTAACTACTTAATTTCCTAAAACCAGGTCGAACCCCAAGGATAAATCCCTTTCCATATTAATTATTCATTCATTCAGCAGCCACTAATTAAGCATCTACTGAAGTTAGAGAATGGGAATTAGAAAATGGAAATCCAATAATAATAGTGCCTAAGGCACTTGACTGCTAACCAGAAGGCTGGTGGTTCAAACCCACCAGCCACTCCTAGGAAGGAAAGTTGGGCAATGTACTTTCGTAGTGATACTGCCACGGACAGCCAGGGAGGGGTGGCTGTGAGTCAGGGCTGACTCAATAGCACATAACAACAACAACATGATAACAATACTTAACATCAGTTGAGTCCCACTTTTTGCCAGACTCTGCTCCAAACACTTACAGATACTTCATTAACCCCGTGTGACGTAGCAGAGCTGCTCCGTTGGGTTTCCTAGGCTGTAACCTCTATGGGAGCACATGGCCAGGTCTTTTCTCCCACAGAGCTGCTGGTGGATTTGAACCTCAGACCTTTTGGTCAGCAGTCACTGGAAATTGGTCCAGTAGTTAGTAAGTGGTGGTGGTGTTAGCTGCCCTCCAGTTGCACCTGTCTCCTGGAGACCCCATGCACAACACAACAAGATGCTGCTGGGTCCTGGGCCACCCCTATGATGGGCTGCAGACTCACCTGTTGGATGCACAGAGTTTTCATTGGCTGTTTCAGAAGCAGATAGCCAGACCTTTCTTTCTAGTCTGTCTTAGTGTGGAAGCGCTGCTGAAACCCGTCCAGGCATCTTAGCAGCACACAAGCCACCTCTGACAGACGGGTGGGGCCTGAGTATGAGGTTCATTGGCCAGCAATCAAACCCGGGTTTTGCATGGAAAGCACGAAATCTACTACTCAGCCACCACTGCCCCATGCCTTTGTCACTTGGTGTTGGGTGCTGTCAAGTTGACTCCGATTTATGGAGACCCCATGTAATTAGTTACCTCCATTAAATTCTTTCTGTTGAACTTGGGCCTGGACTCCATCTTCTCGTGGGACCCTGACTGATACAAACCCTATACCTTTCACATGTCCATCCTCCTCTCCCACTCTCTTGATCTGAGTTCGGGACCTTTGCCTAGATTTCTGCAGTAAGCTCCTGATGGGGTCATTCATTCATTCCTTCCACAAACACTGAGCATTCACTGTGTGCTAGAGCTCCTTCTAGGTGGTGGAGATATGAACATATGCCCTTTATCTTCCCACTCCACTGTTCATACAGCTGGCAGAGTAATTCTTATAAAGCTTGAACTTGGTCACATCAGGCCACAGGACATAGCAGGGGCCCTCAGATAATCTCTAAACACCACCCTGTAAGAAGTAGGCCCTTCTTCCCCAGATGCTGCCCCCCCTTCCCTTCCCAGCCTTACCTTTTTTGTCTCCTCGCCTCTACCTTACCCATGACAGCACCTAACAGGGCCCCGAACTCGTGTCAGTTCCCACCTCTGAATTTCTGCCTGTACTGCTCCCTGTCTCCGGAATTCCCTCTCCTCCCGCTGCCAACTTCTTATTCATCCTTTGGAGCACCTCCTCCATGTCCTGCAGAGGCTTTCCTCAGCACTTGAAGTCAGATTTTAAAGTCCTCCCGGCTGCTGACGGAGTCCTTGACTCCAGCTCTGTCTTCTGGCCCCTTCACTGTGTCCCCAGACAGCAGTCACTGCACAGTGACTGTTACAAAGGAGGTGTTTAGTTAGGAATTAATCTACTCAATAGCAGAGGGTCACCCACAGGTAAAGCCCAGATGAGAGCCAGGGAAGGGGGCCAGGCAGAGGGACAGAGGGGCAGAGGCAGAGGGCTGGGGGGTAGGGCCCAAATTTCAGAGGTGATGTCCAGCCCTGGGAGGCAACTGGATATACGGGTTATTGGAGAAAAGAGGGCTGAAACTTTTGGGGCCCATCTTGGACACCTGGAAGATTGGGCACGTTCAGTTTGTCAGAGCCGCAGCTCATCAGCCGAGGGACAAGGTAACCAGGCTTGGGAAGGTGCTCAGTTTCCCCTAAGACTGTCTTGATTTCATGGCTGGGCTTTCCCTGCTGGCAGAGCCTGAACTCACATCAGGCTTTTTAGATACTGACTTGAGGAAGCCCATTCTTCTTTATTCACCCCGGTTTTCTCACCTGTGAAAGGGACATAATAAAAGCCCACCTTTCCTCCTCCATAAAGGAGCTCTGGTGGTGTAGTGCCTAAGGCATTTGACTGCTAACCAGAAAGTTGGAGGTTCAAACCCACCAGCCAGTCTGTGGAAGGAAAACTGGGCTTTACTTCTGTAAAGATTTACTGCCCTGGAAACCAAAAGGGGTCACTATAAATCAAAATTGACTCAATGGCAGTGAGTTTGGCTTTTTATTTTTTTTCCTCCTCCACAAGTGTTTTGGTTACTTCATGCTGTTCTAACAGAAATACCACGGGTGGATAGCTTTAACAGGAGTTACTCTTACTGTTTTGGAGGCTAGAAGTCCAAGTTCAAAGTGCTAGCTCTAGGGGCTGGGTAAATGCCCCTTGACCTTGGGCCACTCTGCCTCTTACTCCCGGCCACTGGAGCTAGGGGCATCTCTTCACTCAGGCAGCTGCTGGCTGCTGAGGCTAACAAGCCCAAGGTTGACAAATAAAATGGCACAGTCCCAACGTCACACACGACAAGGCAGGCTACTAGTTCAAGTCCAGAGACAATTCCAAGATTGGCGGGAAGCATGGCAGGCTGCTAAATGAAGACGGCTACATGTAAGGTCCAAGGTTGCCAAAAAGCTGCAGACCATTCCCAGAGCTGCTGTTTATATACTGGAAGCAGACTGCATCATGGAGATGATTGCCTGTCTCATCCTGGGGAATAACTACAACCAGCTGCCCAGCCACTTAAAACCAGGCCCGGCCAAGTTGACACACAACCTTAAGTAGCACAACCAGGTTCTTACGAAAACAAATAGGTAAAAATACATGAGAAGTACTTTTGATTTAGACATGCATGCACAGATGTGAGAGATTTTCGGGTGCAGGCATGCCTTGGTTTTGCTCTGTATTCATTCAGACAACAGATACTTATTAAAGATTTGCCATGTGCTA